TTTCTATCCTCAAACGTTGTTCTTTTGTCTGCTCATGTATAGTGTTTGTCAGGTCTCCTGATTTTTAATGATGGACCAGCATCAGAGGTCCTGATGTCGTGCATCATAATGAGTACAAAGATATCTTTCTTTCAAATCGACAGCAGAAAATTTCAGAGACTCTCCACAGATGAATGGGTCGGAGATTATACAAGTATTGTGTATCTGTTCATATACACAAAAAACTATTGCTACTCATATGCTCAGAAAACAACTCATCCGCATATAAATATATAACACGACTACTCTTGATAAAAAAGCAACAAGAAAGCTCTGAATGAAAAAGCGCAAACTTGCTTAATAATGACGTAACGTTGACTTTCTTAAGCATAATATAGCTATGCAAATGTGCAAAATTCTGCGGCGAGAGAAATTCACAAAATTCTGCGGAACGAGAACTTCATAATGTCTGCACGGAGAGGGAGGGGGCAGGAACTAAAATATGAGGGAGGGGGCGCCAACCAGAATAGTTGTTGTTTCAGTAATGCCATACGGCACGCTGCGTAGGTAACTGCTAAACTGTCAGTGTGGTAGGCCCAGATCTAAATAAACAGTAGTAGTACTTGTTCTAAGTGGGCGAAAAGAGATCCTTTAAAAAGAGGCAGAAAAGACTTTCAATAAAAAAAGACAAAAGTTCGCAAAGAATAATCATACATGTAATAGATCTAGATATATTATATGTCAAATCGCTGGATATTTTCTTTCTTTCCTTCTTTCTGTCTTTCTTCTTCTTCTTCTTCTTCTTCTTCTTCTTCTTCTTCTTCTTCTTCTTCTTCTTCTTCTCCTCCTCCTTCTCCTCCTCCTCCTCCTCCTCCTCCTCCTCTTCCTCCTCCTCCTCCTCCTCCTCCTCCTCCTCCTCCTCCTCCTCCTCCTCCTCCTCCTCCTCCTCCTTCTCCTCCTCCTCCTCCTCCTCCCTCTCCTCGCTCCTCCTTCATTCATCGTTGTATTGTAGCAGACATTGTGTTAGTGAAAATGAATAAAAGGCAAAAAGATGTGGTTTCTTGGGAGACATCGAGAATTCATTAAATTTAATAGAAGGAAATGAAATTAGGCAATGGTGAAAGAAGACATAGAATGATACGAACTATAAGGAAGAGATGTATATATATACATGTATTATTAATTTGTGATGATAGAGGGGTCTGCAGAGACAGCGTCAAAGAGTGGGGTGAGAGTGGAAGCAACACCATAACGTTTACCCCACTGAGATCAGAAAGAAACACTGTTGGTCATACAACCGTATTTCACCAGTGCAACAGAAATTATGCAATATTATTTTGTTACGCCTTTGGTCAAGCAGTCAGCAGGCAAAATTTCAAGCCAAAAGGAGAGACAAAAAACCCAGCCATATCTACGGTAATGATGCCTAACTTGGAAGAACGTAGGGGAGAGCACTCTCGATAAAATCCGATGTAATATTGTAAACTGATTTTCTCAGCTGTTTGGCCAAGAGATAGGAGAGAAGTTCTAAGAGAAGCCGAGCAACCCGAATCAGTTCGAAAAAAGATGTTTCGAAGTCGAATAAATCATCTTATAAGGTCTGTACATATTTTTTCCCTGGGCAAACAAGGAATTAGATCTATTCTATATTATAAAGCTATTTATTGACGTCCCCAAGTATGATTTAAGTCCACAAGTTCAATCAGGGGAGATTGAAGTATTTTGAAGAATTAGAAAGGGCCACCTCCGGGGTGAGAATAAATAACGCAGTTGTAGGTATCATGCATGCATCAAAATAACATTGAGTGTGTATCTCTAGCTTACGATTATTATTGTTTATATTGCTGCTCATTTATATTATGCATGTGATTGTAAGCCTACTTGTGTGTGCGTGTGTGTGCACATGTGTACATGTGTGTGTTTCAAGTGTGTATGTGTGTGTGTGTGTGTGTGTGTGTGTGTGTGTGTGTGTGTGCGTGTGTGTGTGTGTGTGTGTGTACTCGTGGTGGAACACCAAACCAATGTGCCAGGACCTGGACAATAAAGATGTATATATCTTATCTTTTATCTTATCTTATCTTATCTCACCTGGGGTGAAAGTGTGAGCCTTTTGGCTATTCTCACCCGGTGTGCGTTCACCGTGATACATTGTACCAGTGTAAACAAACGTTCCAGCACTCTTGTGTGTTGAAAGTAATGAAAGCGTGCAATTTTGGGCACTACTTGGATATATGGTGGTCCCGACTTTTGTGACAGGTGCCGATAGGGAGAAGATAGCCTTTCAAACCTAATTGCAAAACATCGAATCGTGGTCAAATTCAGGCCATGTTTTTTTTTTTTAAAGTCAGGGGGTCAACCCCCCTTGCCTTGTGAAAAACAAGTGAAATTTTACTGCTCATTTTGTAGGCTAGATTTAGATATTGAAAGTGGCTATTTTCACCCGCCCGGAAGCTCTCGCAAGATCAACTCCTCCCCTCTTCTGTCTCTCTCTGTCTCATTCTGAATACTGTCTATCGGTGTGGACGATCAAATTGACCAAAACAAAGTTAAAAAATGATGTTAAAACACAAAAGTAAATTAATTTGGTTGTCTACAAAGATGCTACGGCTATTTAACTTTTCGAATCGAGCCGAACTACGCGGGTCGCCATTTTGTTTTGCCCGGAAATTCTCGCGCTACTCCTCTCTCTCTTTCTCTCTCTCTCTCCACTGCCCACAGACAAAATTGTACGCTTTCAGTAGGCTACAGTTGTAATGGAACGTTTGTTCACGGCACAGAATTCTACAATTTTTCTGTTATCACAGTGTAGAATTCTGTGGTTTAGGGTGAATGCAAAATTTGGTGAACGCGCACCGGGTGAGAATAGCCACAAGACTCGCCTGCACTATTCTCACTCCGGGTGAGAATAGAGGTGGCCTTAGATATTATATCTAGATCTAGATCTAGAATCTAAATCTAGGCTACTGATAAAACATAAAACATTGACCGACTATTTAAATCAGTATTGATATTTCAGTAGGCCTACACTACAAATTTCGGGACCTCCATATCCAAGTAGTGCCCAATTTTGTATGCGGGCAGTGAGAGAGAGGGTGAGAAAGAGGGGGAGCTTTTTCGGTAGTGTTTGGTGGTACCGGCGAAACCCAGTGTCGACACTTTCTTGGTACTGGGTGCTGAGAACCGCCAGTACCATCACCGGTACCGGTACTGAGAGTAACACCAGTAGGTGATGTCACAGACTTCAGACTTGGCGTCTTGCGTCTCACACCACGATCAGCACCGCCTGCACCCCCCCCCCCCTTTC